AAATGATTTGTTTTACGCCATCGATTTGTATATGATAAAAATATTGGTAAACATCGATCATAACTCATACGACGTATCAAACCAGTTATACCAACATATGAGGTTAATACAGCACCTGACAAAACAATTAATGCATCAGCTGAAATTAATTTCGGAAGCCATAATGGAGAATCTGATGGAAGTGTTGCATTACCCATAGCAGCTAAAAGATCATCACGATGCTGACGTATTTCACCAAGTGGCATTATGAATACAGCCAATAATGAGAATACTAAAAAGAACAGAAAAAAGATGTCATAGTCATTTCATTGATTCTATTATGATCAAATTATCTGCTAAAAAGAATTACTTTTTTTTTACGATACAAGAATATTGAATATTAAATTCGGTATCAAAAAACAAGTTGATTTCATTCACGCAAACGAAAATCAGCTTAAGATATCTTTTGTTCGTTTTCTTCTTTCACTAATTTTATTCCATCATGAACTAACATATTTTCATTTACAAAAAAAAAATCAATGTTTATGCCGTTCTTAAATTTTTCTCTTACTACGGCATTTTACTACAGGCAATTCTATGTAAAGATAAAATTAAAAAAATTCATAACTTACATGGATTGAATAACGAAACCACATACCACATATTTCTTAATGTTTTTGGAAAAACGCCAACATTTTGTTCTTCAATATAATTAGATGAAGTTTCAAAACCACTAACACCTAATAAAGCTAATGCAAATCCATAATAAATATCTTCAGGAACGCTTGTTAAAGGTTTTGTTTTCCAATTCTCTACAAACATAATTATTGAATCATACGATCCCATTATTTTTATAAAACACATTATTAATAGTAATGTCATTGTAGCAATATGTATAATAAATATTACTAAAGCAACATTCGCTGATTCTTTTAAACCTAATAATGTTAATAAACAAAAAAATCCTAATAAAGCTATAACTGCCCATGATGGATTAAGTCCAGGCCATAAATTTTGTCCATAAGCAATAGCTGAACCAGCTGATACAACAGCTGTAGCTATATATGAAACTAATGTTAAACAAGCTGCAATTGATGCAATTAATTTTGATGTACAATTAAGTAAAACATTATAGGCACCACCATTTAATGGAAGAGCAAGACCAACTTCAGCATAAATATTGCGAAATAAATAAAGAACAAAAGCTACTAGATACAAGGAAATAAATGAATATTGACCAGCTACAATGAAGTAATAGATCTTAAATATATGAATACAAAAACAACGTCAAATGTTAGTTACCTTTTTGTGCACATATTCCGGCAGTATAAAGACATGACGAAGAAATATCATTGCCTGCAATAGCTGTTGCATGCCATTCACCTAACATTTTGTGACTTTTATTAATATCTTTTTTACCACGAATACAATTACGAAGCCGATCCGTAATAGTTATTTGAGAATCAGATGATGTTGATGCAATATATACGTCATTGAGTACTGTTGATGTCGGTATTGAAATCGGAGAACAAACAGAAAGATCAATACGAGTTACTTCACCCCAACGACCAGGAAAACCCTAAAAAATGTACAGTTTATTTTTTTTTATTAATTTTAAATAATTTAACAAAACAAAAAAATAACCCAAGAAGTTGAATGGCGTCTTGTTCCATCTTGATTCAATGATAAAGAAGTTTGTTGAGGCTGTATAATTAAAGGTGAAGTTTCATATGAAGATGTTATATCATCATCATCATTTAGTAAAGTCGTTGAAGTCATTTATAATCTGAAATATTTTAATGATTTAGACTAAATAATCATTTACTTTTATTTTTTACTTTATCTAACATTTGTTTTATCAAAACTTATAATTTATATTTTTATATTCTTGTTTTTCTTTTTTCTTCTCGTACTTTCGACTTGGATTCATTTCAAAGTTATCATATTTTTCTAGATAGTAGATAGTGAAAAAGTTTTACAAAAGCGAAACGAAATGAAATAAGAAAAAAAAAGCGACGATGTTTTCTCATTGGTTTATTATTTGATCAAATAATTGTTACTCTTTCATTCTCATTGATGGTAGCTCCAGGTTTTGTTCTCCATTTACGTTTTACTAATTCATTTTATTTTATCACTTTTATATATATCATATGATATGTTTTCTATGGCTTCATCAGACACACCTGAACTTGAAGATCTTCCATTTTACCAACTACTAACATCGAATTTTAATGATTTATATATAAAAGCTCAAGATACATGTTCAATAATTGTTATACCGCAATATTTATCAACTACATCTTTATTAACACGTGACATATTTGAATCACATCTATTTCGTCCTTCACCATGTTATCTACGTAAACACGTGTCATGGAATGACAAATATGAAATTGAGTTTGATAATAATCGTACTATTCGATTTTTTTATAAAAAAGGCGGCGCAGGTGAAAAACGTGTCAAAATTTTAAGTCAAGAAGATGTTCGTGATAGTATTCGACAACGTTCTTATAGTATATTAATTATTGAACAACCATTAATTGATATTAATGTAGTAAAAAATTCACAAAATGGTTTATTAGCAAAAACAATAATCAAACCTTTCACTCCATCGGTAAGTTGTAACAATCATCGAAATCAGAAAAATTCACTTGTTTTTAAACATGGAGAGTATCATTTATATCAATCTTCTCGTTGTTTACATCAAATCATAACGAAAGAAGAATACATAGAGTATGATTCATTTTTGTCTTTAAAAACTACATTTGTTAATAACATAAAACTCTTCTTATTGACTTCAATCTCAATCAAAAGTAAACTAGTCGAGAAAATCAAGATTTCGATATCGAATATTTAATAATTTTTGAGAAAGATAAACTTTTTATTAGTTATATCAAAGGTTAGTCTGTATGCATTCTAAATTTTAAACAAAATGTGCTTTCTAGAAAATTAAGTTACAAAAAGTTCAAACTTTTTCAAATTATGTCTCATTGTCGAATGTTATACAGTTTTTCGAAAAGTAGAACTTGAATCCGATATTCTGAAAGAATTATTTTTGAACGAATTGGAAAACCAACAACAATTTTAACGGATATTTGAAAATAAATTTCCATTTCATAGAAAACCAATCAAAGTTTTAAAAAGAAGAGGAAAACTAACATAAGTCAGCTAACGGTGTTGAGAGTCCATTTTGTTTCTTCCGCAGTTGGAGGGAGTACGTGAGTTACATAAAATACAGCTGGTGCATATCAGTTCGTCATAAAATAAGTAATAAATTTTTCTTATTGATTATCAGAGATAACAAATATAATATTGTTTCTAAAAATATTCCCGATTTTTCCTATTGTTTTTATTTTTGTACTATGCGTTTATCTTCATGTGTCATCCTTGAGTTTAAAAAATTGATTGTTCATTTTGAGATATTTTTCTTATAACAAACATTTTCATTTTATATAATTAACATTCCAATAAAACGTTTGCATGATAAGGTAAATACATAAGAGCAATTTCCTAGTAGCTGTAATATTACTTTGTATAAAACCAGTCTCCTTTCAATACATACATGCGTAAATCTTTGTAAAACAAAGGTAATGTTATAATATCCGTAATTCGCGTTTTCCATATACCGCTAAATTAATGATTTTGAGTTAACATAGTATAACGACATGAATATCTGACTCGATGCGCTTGTATCTATAGAGTTAAAGATTTTAAGTGAATTAGATGTAACAAGATGGACATCAAGCCTTGTACAGATATATCTCCAAAGTTCAGAATATTGAGGAAAGGCTATGAAGGTAGACCTTATTTTGATGCCCGGAATTCTATGCTTGGAAACTCATCCACATCCAAAGCTACACACCGTCACCCACACTCACACCCTCGTAACTTGTAGCTCGTCGTTATCCAGCGTTCGGATAGTATGATATCTTTGCACATTTGGTTAGAAAACACTCTGCAAACGTCTATAGCTGAAACTGAAAATCATAAGTGCTACCGTCGGTTTTTATAAGTACGGCGGTATACAGAAGATAGTACGAACAAGAAAAGTTGTTCTCTCTTAAATAAATAAGTATATCATTCTTCTAAATAACAAATTAAATCTCTTATATAGGTATCTAAATTTAATGCAACAACAGCAAGTTATGAATCATCATTTATGTTTCTTGATTCCGTACGTCAAATTGAAGCTGCATTTGCACGATTACGCACATCATTATTTTTATTTAATGAAACATATATTATATTACCAAAATTTATTGAAAATGCTTTTGATAAACTTCGTCAATTAAGATCACAATTTCTTCAAGAATCATATCAATTATTAAATAAAAGTTGTGAAGATCGTGATATTGAATTAGCAAGTGAAATTTATATAACTGGTAATACGTATACAAAAGTTTGGCCAATTATTGTTCACAATAATCAAAATAAAGATCAAATATTAGTTGAAAATATAGAAAAACGTCAACGAAAAGAACAAAAAAATTCTAACCAAATTAGTATAAAGATAAATCAAAATGCATTGAATGAATTAAAAAAACTTGATGATCTTAAATCATCATATGAAAAAGCTAAATGTATTCGTTCAGCACTTGATTTAACAATTGCAGCTAAAACATTAATGATTGTTGATCCAAAAAGTTCTGCTGTTTCATATCATTCATCATCGAATGCAATGCCTATGGCAGCTGATGAAACATTAACTGCTTTTATTGATCTCATATGTCAATTAATAACAACATCAGAAACAAATACTCATATTCGTTTAGCTGCACATGAATATTATACAGAAAAATTTAGATTTTCTCATCTTCCACAAGATATTGATTATGCTTTTACAACTTATCGAGGTGTTATTGAATATTTAACAAATAGTTCTTCTTGGTTTTGATAACAAATTAAAATGAAATTATACAATTATAAAGCCGGTGATTTCCTTTATGTTCTGTTTCGGCAGATATGTGCTTTTTTTTTTCTTTTATTAAATAAAAATGTAAAAAGAATAATTCAATTTATATTTATGTTGTTCCATGAATAGCTGTACCAGTTTCTTTTGCTGCTACATTAGAAGCGACTGATGATGATGTATCTTCTGCTGGAGGTAAATTATTTGTTTGTTGTTCGATTATCTCCATTAAATCATTTGCCTATAAAGTTTGATCAAGGATTTTGTTTTTGTAATTAAATATATGATAGAAAAAGAAAATATCAACGTACTGTTGTTGCTGCTGGAATATTTTTTAAATGATATACCATGACAGAGCCAATACTAGTACCAGCAAGAACACACTGAAATAAAACAAAATTATTAGGAGAAATTAAATAAATAAATAAAAACGAAATTAATACTTCAGAATTTGGTGCATATGTTATCGAAGTAAATATGTATTGTTGAGTAGCTAATATAACATTTATTGGTTCAAGTCTATTTGAAGAGAAAAAGAAAAGTGAATAAAAATAGAAAATTTAACTGAAGATTATTTAGATCTTAAATATCTTCTCTTTATGAATATAAAGGTTGATCGCTAAAAATAGCTATACGATAAATCATTTGCATATCTCCACTCAGTTCCATTCTATAGGACTAATCTTTTTTTTTTCTTGATAGAGAAGATTTCAGAGTTTCTTTTCCCATAAGAACAACAATTACAAATATTCCTTTGAAGTATCACCATTGGCTTGAATAATGAATTAAGATTGTTCTAACAGATCCATGTGTGCATACATTCGTCCTTCGACGAATATATTCGATCATGTGTTTCGTTGAGCGACATGTAGCTAGTCGTTACGTAAACATAATGAAGTCAAAGCGGGAATTACTTTGTTTATCCTTACTGGTGCTCGTTTTTACAGAGGTTTCGAAATTTTAGGCTTATGTTATGACCTATGAGGTCATAGAGTTCGTGCGAAAAAAAAATTCTGAAGTCTGCTCTATTATGAAAAAAACTAGTCTTAAACAGTGAAATACAATGAAGATATTCAAATTTTTTATCACAAAACCACTTAGGGATAATTTTGTACACGTATATATCCATCGAATTATTTCAATCAAAGCAGTTTCACACTCGTACTATAATAGTAGAATAAAAAAAAAATCCATAGTAACTCAAATTTGTACATTGATCTTGTGTCCAAGTAATTATTTTTATTTGTGTAGAAATGTACTATAGATCACAAACGCATGACACAGAGAATATGACTTGATCTTTCTAAATCAGTTTAGTTTATTCAGAAAATTGATCAAAGTGAATATTTATTTATCAGAGATCCATATATTGAAAATGCAACAAAAGAGAAAGATATTTTTAGATAATGACCATTCACGAACTAGAGTAATAACATTTCTCTTAACCATATAAAAATAATATTCTAGTATGTTACTATTTGATTGATTTATAACTCCATCAATGTAATGCTAGTTGTTTCATAGGCAACGGATTGTTTTAATTGTAGATCAAGCTCAATATTTTTTTTATAAGGTTCATATTTTGAAGTTAAAATAATCAGAAAAGGTGAGTCTTTGTAAATACAATGGCTTTAATGAGGAAAAAAAACTATGCATTTAAAGAAAGATGCTAACATTTAGGTTCATTGAAATGCGATCTTCGAAAGAACACTTTCTCATCAACTTTACTGGAAAAAAACTATTATGGTGAAGCCTACATATTGACAAAAAGAAAATAGATATATCATTTGAAGTAATGGAAATAGTTGGAAAGAGAACAAAAGTTTCTTACGTATTTTTTGATAAATCCCATACTTCTACAGCTTCTTCGTTCGCACAACAAAATATTGTTGCTGATTTTGGTGACCAACAAATATCAAATACTGGTTTCTAAAAATAGGATTTGATTATAAAATTAGTTCATAGATATATAAATACCTTTCTCGATGCAAATGTAATACATGGTTGAAATCGATCAACTGTCCAAAGTGATACTGTCCAGTCAGCTGATGATGAAAGAAAAACACCTTTTGCGAGTGGACTCCAAGCTATTCGATAAACTGGACCCTATTTTAAAAAAATTTATCAATATATATTACTCAGAAACTATTTGCACAATTTCTGAAGAATTAAAATGTGAAACACAATGTAACTGTTGTTGTGTAAAATCACATGGAGATCATTATATTCGATCTATTTTGGGACATATTACTTCACTCTCCGGTTACTTAATCCTCCAGAAATGCAGTAATAAGTTCATATAAGATATCGAGATGTTATTGATATATGATCTGTGATTGTATACCAATTAAATCTGTTACGTTTTGTCGGACGAGGGACGTTACAAATTTCTATCCTTAAGCTTCAACACTCTTTTTACTAGATCTTGTTTCACAAAAATTCTAATGAACTTTTTCTGCTTACTGTGTGTCCAGAAAAAGTATCTAAATATTGTTCGTTATATGATACAGAGCATCGATGAATAAGACCTTCTTCAGTCCCGCATAAATATCTAAGAAATATATAGAAGTTTAATAATTTTTTTTTGAACAAGATTATATAAACATACATTGTTTTATCATCTGGACAAACATCAAAACAGAGACCACCGGAAGAACGAAAAAGTAAATTTTCAGATCTAGGACCTTTTGTATCTTTTCCAGTGTCACGTTTTTGTACTGTTTGTTTACTCAAGATACGTTTTAATTTCATATAATCTAAAAATAAAAGAACAGTTTATGATGGTTTTTTTCTGAAAATTATTTCTGCATTAGTTTTTCGTTCTTTACCATTCGATTCAAAACCTTTGCGTAATAACCATTGAGTAACTCGACCATCTAGAAATATAAATTTGAACAATGAACTATACCAATACTATCAAAACAAACCTGTCGAAATCGACATAAGTACTTCGCCTGTATCATCATCACGACCTTTTTCGACTTCTACCCAATAGAGTTGCCATACAGGTGCTGTATGTTTTCCCAATGATTCTCTATTCATTGATAAAAAGTAGAAAAAAAAAGAACTTTTTTAAAAAGCAGATTTTTGTCTATCAACAAAGAAATACTCTGTATCAAGTAATGGCTTATCACAATTGTTTTGAACATCATATACATTTACTGTGCCATCGTAAAGACCTACCTGTTATAAGAGAATTTATTCGATAACAAAAAAAAAACCAAGAATCTATTTTTACCGCTAACAATGATGGAAATTTGACTGAAAACGCTACAGTTGTTACAGCAGCAGGTGTATGAAAATATCTTTCAGGAAACTAAATAAATTAATAAAAATAAAAATAAAAAATTCAAATCAAATTATTTAATATAATACGTCTTGATTTTTCAAAGTCCAACAACAAACTAAACCATCACGTTGATCATTATATTCAAAAGGTCCATAACCAACAGCAAGTAAATCTGAATTTTTTCGATTCCATGCTAATGCACTAACATTTTTGTTACTTGTTAATTCAGAAGAATAAGCTTTTTTAAAAGAAAAAGAAATATTCATTCATTTTCGTTTTCATCAAAATTGATATTTACCAAACAATTTATCGAGTGCTAAACCATTATAAGTTGTTCCTTCTGAAAAACAAGATAATGTATCTTATATTATTATCAAAAAATAATATGATACGATGTTGTTTTGATTATAATAAATATTTAGGTATTCAACAGTGTATTTAAAGAAGAAGATATAGAAATTGTTGAGTAAGAAAGGATTTGTGCAGTGCAATGATATACAAACTGCAAAGGTTTCTTTTTTTAATAAAAAAGAACTTTATGATGACTTTTCTTCTTTAAAATCTTTGACTGAACTTCTATCACTAACATGCATCCTAGGCTTGAAGTACAGCAATACTCAAAAGCGAATTTGCAAGTTAGAAAGATTTCCTTGTAAGAAAAAAGAATAACATATGACGTTGTATGTTCTCACATTATGAAAATCGTATGTCCTAATTTTCTTCTTTTTTAACACAAGAATTTTAATGCATCGTGTATTCTGAAGGGAACTCCGTCTCAAAATTCTAACTTCGACAGGATATATAAGACTAGCGAGAGCTCGTGCATACTACACGGGTGTTTTCTCCTTTAACGTATGATCGAAGACGTTTAACTTTTCATTCAGGAACAGACATACAGACATTCGATATTATGTATACAGATAGATAGTCCTACGGCCCGATACTCTTATATCACACATATTTTTATATTCCATGTAGCCTTCGGCCTTATAGCCTTATCTCTTTATTGCCTTACAACTTATTGTCTCAGTCCCTTGAGAACCTATGGCTATCCCAATATTATAGCTCTTCATGTCCTATAGATATACCATACAATAGCCCTTGAGGAGCTTCTTCTTATAGTCTTATTTGACCTTTGACGCGGCACAGAGAAACCCACAGACAGACACTGAACATTATATATATAGATGTTTGGTGAAACTGTGCATAAATGTTTGATTCAGGAAAGTACACCAGTACAAAACAAATTTCATGTTTTTCCACATTGGCATTCAGACGATTTCCAGAGACCAAACTCAAGAACTTGGATTACTTTTCATTGAAAGAGAGCTCCTTACCACTTCGAATGACGGAAAGGACTTTTTTTAATTGTTATTCTGTTTCATTTTTCAGATCATTGAAACGTGAAATATCTGGAATTTTTTGACATGATTTTATGGAAAACTCAAGGTTTATTCTAGTATTGACAGTTACTGAGAAAATTCCTTTCGTTCATATGAAGAACTATACATATATTTATCGATTAAAAAAACAGCTATCTAGAATGAAGTGTATTGAGAAAAAAAATTGTCTGCAGTTAGATCATAACCAAAAAAAATCAATTTTGAGAAAGAAGCAAAGGAAGTTCTGGATGTAGGTGGGTGTGAGTGAAGGGAAGATTTACGCCCACATCCTCATGTCATTGTAGACCTCAAAAGTGTGTCTCTGAGATGTACAATATTTGATTACCTTTGAAAGATATTTCTTTGTTTGGTAGATCTAATTCTACAACAACAATAAATTTATTGATTTCTCTAGACATCATTATTTGTTCAGATAATTTCGAAGATCATTCATAAAACTCAAAAACCTTCGAGATGCAAATGTATTTTAATAAATTCTTACACTAGGTAACTCAGGCAACATGTTCGTATGTTCATTCAAAGAGAATCTTTTTTCTTGACGAACATTGAATTTTCCGAAGGCGGAGGTGGAGTTAAATGTCTGACGTTCCTTTTTCTTTTACTACTGCTATTAAACTTACTTTCTTCTTTTACTACTAAAGGTGTTAATCCTCGGTAAACAGCTTGTTTTGTTTGATTAGTATTCAAATTAAGTACTCGTTCCATAATAAAGACACAGGAAGCAATTTTTGATGACTTAAAAAAATGCAAAATAAGTCAAATAATTTCATATAAAATTTGATCAATAAATTTTACATCAAAAGGTTCTGGAACTTTTGCTTCTTCACTAGGAGTTTTCGTGGCAGCTGGTTTTCGCATCGTTTCATCCATTGATTGATCCGAAAGACGTGTTCCATGTGATTTATCTACACCAGAACTTAAAGAACGTGTTTGATCTATAATTAAATCAAAACAACAATATGTTCATTTTTTATTAATAAATATTTATATTAATAACGAACCAAGACGCATAGTTCCATCATCGGTTGTTTGTGTTTCATAAGTACCCTTAGCAAGTATAACTAAACAATAAGAATAGAAATTGTCTAAATTTATTTTTCAAATCTATACATACTTTTACTTTCACCTCTTTCTGAATCATACATATCTGCAGTTGATGCATATGCTTCTCGACTCTATTTAAAACAAAAAGAAAAGTCACTTTTTTTTTCAAGTACAAGAAATAATTTACTTGAGAACTTAGCCGTTCACATTGAATTTCTTTATTTTTAACACTACTATTGAATGTATTCATACCACGATCACTAAATAAATCACTGCCTTGTTTACTTTTACATAACTAAATATATATATATATATGCAAATACCAAAAGAACTTGATTAAATATGCTTTTTATTTTTTACTTCAACATATCGTTCATTATCATGTTTAATTATTTCTATGTCTTTTGAATCATTAGCAACAATAGAACTATCCAAACTTAAAATAAATATTGTTTCTGTTTCACTAAGAGTTAATAATGGTTGTGATATTTCACCTTCTAATGACATTAATGACTGTCCTAAATAGAAAAGAAAAATGAATTTGGAAATAAATTAGATGTTCAATATTCTTTGTAAACGTTCAGAATAATTTTTTCTTTATTATTATATACAAATTATCAGTAAATAAATCAAACAATCAGTATAAGAGTGTTGGCAGGGGTCTGTAATATGGCTATTGCGTATGAAGCGCAGGAGCATAACCATGAGGATGCAAGATGCACCTATGCATCTTCTGGTCAAAAGATACCTCGAGTGAATACAGATAAAAAGCCTTTTAGTAAGACGAACAATTATTTTCCTACTGGTATGCATCCCCATAACAAGTCGGTACTTCTCTTGGAAAATTTCTGACTACGCACCTGACAAAGTGTCACCGTGAGCGAGGATATTGGTTGTAGAGTGCAAGTGTAGGCATGCGTACTATCGTTAGGAATGTTGATATCTACATCCTTAAATGTTGAGTCTTTTTAAATTAATAGCTGAGCTTTTCAAATTACTTACTATGCTAAGAATAATTTTTTTACTGATTTAAAGCTACTGAGCGTGCAATAAAAAACATACTGAGCAATTAAATCCAAGCTAATGAATTATTAAATCAATAGGTAAAATCAATGTTAACCTTGTTCAGCGCTATGCATAGCTATACTTTGAGCAAGTTGTTCGGTTTCTTGTTCTGATGGAAAACTTTCTCCTTCAGTTCCATGTGAATTAAGTGCTCCACCATGGCTAAGACCCATCATTGATCTATTTCCATTATAGATAAATTAAAAACAAAAAAAATTACGTATTTTATTTATGTTATATTTATTTACTTCGTTGCAGAAAAAACTTGTGGTTGAACTGTTGAATAAGCAGCTTCACTTGGCTATTTAGATTAATAGAAAAAAACAAAACTTTTTTTTTTTTTGTGAGATAAAAAGCATTGAAATTCTTACAGTCGATGAAACATCTTGTGTAAGAAAAGAATCTTTAACTTTATTAAAAAATTGTTCTGGATCAATGAGACGTTTTGGTGTAACATCTTGATTATTTTCAATAAGTTTAGGTAAAGTACGAGCAGGTCGTGTTACGGTTGGTGCTGTTTTTCGTGCTGCACCTGATACTTGACCACCAGATCGTGCACCACCTGAAACACCAGTACGTACAGAAGCGGCTGAACGTAATGTTGATGTCATTTATAAGAAAAAAAGAAAAGAAAGAATTCTTCAGCTGAGCAAATGTCTTCTTTTTTCAACCATTCTTTATTTCATCACTATTAACATTACCTCTGTTCCCGTTCTGTAATCTTTCAATAGATGCCTCCCGTTTGTAATATTTAATATAAGAATGATATTCGAATAATATTCATATCAAAACCAAAAAGAGACAACATAGAAAAAGAATGTCGAGTTTATCTACAAGTCGTACTCAGCAAGAAGAAACTGTTTACAAAACACAAGTTCTTTTATAAATTGATTTGCAAAAAAAAAAACGTTTATCTAATTTGAAATTTTCTTAGGAATGGCAAAATTTAGCAACAAATAGTCAAGATATTATCAATGAAAATTCATCAGAAAATTATATTGACAATTTTAATGATTTATCTAAGACAGAAAAAAGTCTTGTAATTCAACGAGTTGCACAAAATTTAAAAATAAATCCTATTCGAAAACGTAAGTGTTAATTAATTCTTTATAGAAATTAATGTTAAAACAAAATTGTTTATTGTATTCAGCATATCTTGATGATGATTTTAATGAACGAATTGTAGATTTACTTAAGAACGATGTTTATAACACAATTTCACAATCACCTTTTACTGATAACTCCCAACGTAAACAAAATGATAATATTTTAGATAAAATATGTGATGAAATTGTTAGTATTTTACATCAATGGTCTGATAACAAATATAAATTATATACATTTTTCAATCATTCATTACCACAATCAATACGTTGTGCTAGTTGGTATTCATATTTATCGAATATTAAACGTAGGTTATTGAAAAATGAAAATTTTGTTCCTATATACAGGGGTTGTCAAAATTATAGACCCCCCCCCCCCTCATATGTACATAGAAAAATGTTTATTTTATTACAATAAGGAATGATATTGATCTGCTAGGTGCACATCTACGTGAGACTAATTACGATTATATGATACTCTAGCATCTCTCTTTTATCTCTTGTTCTTTGGAGAAAAAAATTGGAGAAAACTGGAAAATGCCTGTAACATAATTATAGATCCCCCTAACAAAAAATCATATTATCTCATCGTTTAAAGTGTTCCAAAGCTGCAGTTTTAATATTTCATTACCATATTAACTGCTTTCTATCTTTTCCATTTTATTGGGAGTTTTCTCAGAAATATTTTACTTCAAAAGTTCAAGATTTCAGACATTTATTGAACTTTCGTCATATGCTAGCCAAACTCTCCTAATTGATATTCTTTCATATGCCATATTCCATTAATAGTAAGAAAGTGGATGTCATGTCTCGAAATCATACCAATAGAATCGAAATTGAAAAGGATTTGGCTTGATGCAACTAGTAGATTCTTCTGTTCTGTAATGATTCTTTCAGAAACCTTTCAATTACACGGTCAATTTTAGCCCATAGACCAAATCCAATAGTATGGTTAGAAAGAGCACATCAAGTTGTACTTAACATATGCAAAAACTAATAAGAAGTACAGCTCCTTCAAAAGCTCAGACATATACACATGACATGGACTATTTATAACAGCACCATGAAAATGGCTGCTATCAGCGTAATGTCTCTAGTACAACTCATAGACAAGTAAAATCAAACTTTTGTGCTTTTCTATCATCAATGGAGATGTATTCTCCTGAACAGCTGAGCAAAGTTCGTCCAGACCTTCCTGCTGAGAAATAGTCAGATTATATCTTTTACCTCTGTTTTCACGGTGCTTTTATAAATAGTCCATGTCATGTGTATATGTCTGAGCTTTTGAAGGAGCTGTACTTCTTATTAGTTTTTGCATATGTTAAGTACAGCTTGATGTGCTCTTTCTAACCATACTGTTAGATTTGGTTTATGGGCTAAAATTGACCGTGTAATTGAAAGGTTTCTGAAAGAATCATTACAGAACAGAAGAATCTACTAGTTTCATCAAGCCAAATCCTTTTCAATTTCGATTCTATTGGTATGATTTCGAGACACGACATTCACTTTCTTACTATTAATGGAATATGGCATATGAAAGAATGTCAATTAGGAGAATTTGGCTAGCATATGACGAAAGTCCAAACAAATGTCTGAAATCTTGAACTTTTGAAGTAAAATATTTCTGAGAAAACTCCCAATAAAATGGAAAAGGTAGAAAGCAGTTAATATGGTAATGCAATATTAAAACTGCAGCTTTGAAACACTTTAAACGATGAGACAATATGATTTTTTGTTAGGGAGATCTATAATTATGTTACAGGCATTTTCCAGTTTTCTCCAATTTTTTTCTCCAAAGAACAAGAGATAAAAGAGAGATGCTAGAGTATCAGATAGTCGTAATAAGTCTCACGTAGATGTGCACCTAGCAGATCAATATCATTCCTTATTGAAATAAAATAAACATTTTTCTATGTACATATGAGGGGTGGGGGGTCTATAATTATGGTAACCCCTGTAGAAAACATTTCAGAAAGAATTTGTAAAAATAATTGATATGTATGTTATTGTGAAAAATAAATGATGATGTTTGAATGAGTTCACGAGAAATTAAATTTATCCTATTTTACTTTTTATGGTTTTCAATCTACTATAAATTTCATATCTTTCACTCTTGAGCTTCTTTAGTTTCGTTAGTCCTATTGGATATGGGTTGGGTGTGCATTAGTCTATTTCATTTATCTACGTTCCGCACCCATCTATCCACTCGCAAGGCCCAGAATATTCTTATAGCTTTAAAAGACATGTAACTATACAAGTAAAATGGGATAAATTTGATTTGTTGAAAATATATTATGATGGTTGTGGGAAAATACCGAAATATCTCAAAAACGGTTTAGTATTCATCAAGAATAGTATTTTCGATAATCTTACTGTTTAAATTTGTAGTTGTAGTTCATAAAAATCTTAAAATTAATGTTAAATCTTTGACTATGTTTAACAATTAACGGATTTCGATACTGAAGAAGAAATGCTGTACAGTATTCATCTTAACCATTGAAATAATCTTATTTTTGAAATTGAAAATCTATGAAATAGTCATAAGTACTCTAGATATTAATAGCAGTGGCAAATTAAAGTCGAGAGGCAAAGCGAACGTTCTCATCTTGAAAAAAGTTTTTTGCCGTTTTCCTCTCGAAAAGACGAACAAAAAAAGCTTAGTTTATATTACGTTGAATGAGTCTCAAAACGTGATCTTTACCATTGATTGCCAGGTGCCTTTTAAAATTAATCCTATCTCTGTCTGCTCTTTCCATAATCTTATATCGATCGTTGGCTTATGATTATATATTTTAAAACTACTATTTAAATACAAAGAAATATAAATCTTGTTTTACATTTACTGAAATTTTTAGACCGTGAAAAAGTTCTTAATGATTTGGCAACTGATCCTCGAAGTGTATTATCACCAATGGATTCTGAAATTCAACTTAATTCTGATCGTCTAATTGCAATATTGCCAAGTGCATCTGATATGATTAATTCTACAGGTAATTTTTCTTTATTAAAATGAAAATTTCTTTTTTTTTCCTTAAAATTTATCGTTTAGGAAATATGAACGCCGTGAAAGCAATACTTTCTTATCATCGTTCACTTTTTCCTAACAGATATGATTTGAGTAATGCAGAATATTATTATGTCATACCAATTATACTTTCACACAATACACCTCTATCAAAGTAAACTAAATCATAAATTAATATATCAACAAAAAAAAAAACAATGCATCTATTTAGCCTAGTTTTATTTGATTAAATGAATTTCTCCTTTTTTTAAGATGCCGGGGGGCAAATACACTTATCGACCCCCTAATGTATTGACGTAATTCGACTAATTAGCCCCTGGAGAGTTCATTAAAAGTATTTCCAAGAGTCCTAGACCAATAGTTTAAGAGATAACGTGTATTTGTTCCGCTTGATACAAGCCTCACAGAGCATCTCAATAGCTGAGGGTGAAGGCAAAATTTTGATCTACATTTAAAGGGCATCTCCATAGCTGAGGATGCCATGAGACAATATTTCATGGCATCCTCAGCTGTTGAGAGGCCCTTTGGCGGCTGTATCAAAATTTTGCCTTCACTCTCAGCTATTGAGATGCTCTGTGAGGCTTGTATCAAGCGGAACAAATACACGTTATCTCTTAAACTATTGGTCTAGGACCCTTGGGAATACTTTTAATGAACTCTCCAGGGGCTAAATGGTCGAATTACGTCAATACATGAGGGGGAGGGGTCGATAAGTGTATTTGTCCCGATGCCGGCAATCAATTAGAAATTTCAGTTAAATTTCTGTTGGCATTTTTTTTTGCTATGGTTGCACAGAATTTATCGAGTGACCTCTATACATCTTTTGAATATATTCAAACAATGTTTTTGAATGAAACTTAGGAAAATTAAGTTAAAAAAATCAGAAAAGATACGCTCGTCATATATGTATAAAGAAAAAAATTATGGATGTTTGTTGAAACATATTTTTGAGAAAATCAATATGCTCTATATGATTGCAAAACACAATAAATATGGGTTTTTATTCAAAGATTTTGATTATCAAAACTTGACTTCCAGATGAAATGAATATCATATTCAAATAACTAGAGGATGTGAGTGTTAATGTGAGTAAAGATCTTTTGTGTACTCGCATACAAATCTACAAACACACTTACGTTCAATGTTCCTTCAGGATGCTTTAAGACTCCTACAAAGAATTGTCGGTATGACCAATAGTCCTAGCACTCATATTCAGAATCAGAGCACTGAAAAATATACTCAACACTTAAAACAAGTTTTTATCAAATATCAATCCTCACATCTCATCACTGTTTTTTTAAGATTCTCTGGCCTGTGTGCTCCTCCCATAAGGTCAAAATTTGATAAAAACTTGTTTGAAGTAATGAGTATGCTACTCGATACAGATTTTTCTGTTGATTCTGAATATGATATTCTTTTCGTTTAAAACGGAAATTCTAATGTTAAAAATCTTTGAATAAAAAGTCGTATTTATAGTCTTTTTTGCTATCCTACCGAAAATATCATTTTTATTCTAATCAAATGATAAGTAAAAGGATAAAAATATTTGAATAAGTATTGAGATTAGTAAGACTTGATGTTTTGGGCGTATGTGAATTTTTATAGGTTTTTCAGATCTTTTTTTAACTCTAATTTTCCTAAGTTTTACCACAAACACGTCGTTTAAACATGTCGAAAACAATATTTCTGAAGGTAACTCGATGATCTCTATCCAACCATGACAAAAATAACTTTGCTTGAATTTCGAATTATTTACTTCTTGATATATTCTGTTGCATTATGCTTTTGATTATTATTAGCTCTGAGGAATCTTATATAACATCGCTTGCAATTTTAATCGAAATGTATGAAACATTTTTGGAAAGAATACCATCAATATTATCCAATATTTATTCAAAAGTAAATAATTACATATTTCAATTTCTATTGATTTAAAAAGATATCTTGCTTACTTAGAATTCAACTGTAGAACTTGAACCATGGTTTCGTAAAGTTGAAAATCATTTGAAAAACATTGATCAATCTATTTACAAACATATACAAAATATTCTTCGTTCATCAAGTTTGTCACGCTATATTTTTATTTTATTTTAATCAACTATTCATTTCTATTTTTCAGACACATACAAATCTACCACTGATACTAGTTCTGTATTAATTTTACTACGAAAATATTGTTGTAAATGGTTCAAATATATGTTTGTTAGTTAGTATTTACACATAGTTAGAAAATCAATAATAATGAAAAATATGCAAGAATAAAACCATCACTTTTATAATGCTATTATATTCAGATGTATTTAGAAAAATCATCAATGTATTTCTAGGTTGTCTTACAACAGATGCTTTATTATTTGTTTGGGATCAATATTTGATTACTCGTGATGTATCCGAACTTCATGATGAACTTCTACCAGCTATTGCAACAGCAATAATTATTGCATTGAAGGATTTATTAATAAACTGTAAAAAGGTTTGCTATTTATAGATATATATAGGAGGAAAGAGAGACAAGTTTAGCGTAGTTGTATTTTTGAGTTTTCTTCTCAATCGTAGTAGCTAGGAAGAATCTGAAGCAAAACATTTGAGTATTTAAAAAGATTCTCTACTAGGATTGTTGGACCTAGAAATCTGATAAACCTGCTTAGAGCAGTTTGCTTAAAAAAGCAAGACCTCCAAAAGCAGTTTTCTAGCATCAGTTTGAACCTTTTGGAAAATAATTTTATCTGACAGAGTAAATAATTCTAAGCAAAATGAGATATTTCGGTTCTCTTCATGACATTTCTTCATCAAGCTGCAGTCAATTTATCGAAAGTTTCAAAGCGTTAAACACGATGAAATTCTTGCAAATTTTTATTGAAACAAGACAAATGCTTCTTGGATCTTCTTAAACTGAATGTAGTTCAATGAAGAAATATCATCAAGAGAGTCTAGACATTCCATCCTACTCAGAATAATTTTCTCTATTGAATAAAGCAATTTCCGAAAAGCTTCAAACTGACGCCTGAAAACTAGTTTTGAAGGTCTTAATTTTCCAGATATCCTCATTGAAGCAGTTTTGTGAGATACTTCAGATCCATCAATCCTAATAGAGAGTCTTTTTAATGAGTCAAATGTTTTCTTCAGATTCTTCCCTAGGTATTACTATCGTACAGAAAACTCGAAAATAATACTATTCTAAACTACTATTCGCCACTATAGATATGTATTTCGAAATGTATAATAAATAATTTTGTTTATTTGTTTTTAGACATCCGAAATTGAATTAATTCTACAAAATAGCCCGACTATTATCGAAGCACATCAATTACAATCAATTATTGCTCAGTTTTTTTTATCAAATTTAAGAAATAGAATAGTAAGCCAAACAACTGTACCGATTAGTCCTCAAAATTCAAGTTTGTCAAATAAAAATAAGGAGTTTTCGAGTATGGATTCCTTTTTTTATTGTAGTAGTTGGTCCACAAACTAATAATCCACGAGAACTAGTACATGATTTACTTCGTAGAATAACAGAAACATGCAATCGAGGTATTTACATATAATTTCAATTCTATGAATACTTTTATTTCTTTAGTCGTACATGGTGAGGGCGAAAATAATGCAATACTTAATAAACAAACGATAAATGATATCTACATTTATAAATTTGATTCAAAAATGGCTGAACAAGAAGTTATTGAAAGAATTTTAGGTACAAATAAACACGATGAATTAACATTTGAACAAAAACAAAAATATAATCTGGAAATAAAAGATGTTGTGACAAAACGGATTCATCAGCGCTATTTTAATGAACTCAAACGATTATCAAAGAATAATTAAAAAAAAGTTGACTTTTTCAATATTTTTCTGTAATTTTATTTTTATTTTAAGTGCCTTTTTTTTTTTTATTGATATAAGAATTTCTAAAACTTTTCACTGCGAAAGAATATTTTTGAAAGAGAAAAGGTACATATGTTAATGTTGTATTGATTTACAATTGAGATTATCTCAGAGTTGTAATCGATCGAGACCTTTTTGAATTGGTCTTATCTGACTGGTTCGAAAAACTTTAAAGAATAACAAAAACTGACGAATTTATTAGATCATTACATTTCGTGACCCAAAACTTCGGTTTTTTTCATTGTTAATTTTTTGTGGCTATTAGATATAATGAGCGAACTGAAAGTCTTGATTTATTTAAAAAGAAAACCTTTTCCATAGGAATAAATGTTCTCGTGGAACTGTCTTTAATATAGAAAAGCTTTAGTAAAACGACTCCTTCAAAATGAGTATATACCAATTCTTCTAGTTCATTTAGTATAAAAATGTTTACGATATTTAAAAGCAAGACAATTATTAATAATGCAACCGTCAAAAATGATATTGTAGACTAAGTGTGAATGAACTAGTCGATTTGCATTGTGACAATATATTTTTGAATTAATTTAGAATTAATTGAATATCTAATACATTAAGTATATATAACCGGTAGCGTGTATTAATTCTTCGTGTCACACGAAAGAATCCCACCGAGAAAATAAATAACGTGCTTGATGAATTACGTTCTTATGAAAATTCTTCACGTTTATGTTGACAATCATTTATAAAGAAAAAAAAAATTAAATATTAAAAAGAAGATTACCAAAAACTCGATGAACATGTGTTAGACTAAGAGCTAGCAGAACAGAATGGTCCACGAAAAATATTCAAAAAAAAACTCAATACATTAAGAAAAAGTGAAAGTCAAAGACAAGTAATTTCTCGATTTTCAAACTTTATTTTTCACATAGAATTCTTTCCTTCCAAAAACGAAATTGATCTACTTTGATCTGTGATATCCAGCTAACATATTTGATATACAATGGATCATAAAATGATTCCGAAGTAGTTTCGTATATACAAATTGATTAGTTTAGTCACATTTACGAGAGAACCTCTCAGGGTGTCAAATCGTTTTTCGATCATGACGATGTTTATTTGATGAGTAACAATGTGTAATAGAAATGTCTAGAATGGTTTGGTTTTCCAGATCTTTGCTTTTTGAAATATCGAAATTTCACTGCGTTTTTTGTCCCCGTCAGGCCACGTGGAAAATTGAATTTCAAATTTTAACTTCAAACTTTGCATAAACAAAATTTCTAATAAAATTAGTTGATTAGGCAAGTTGTAACTTTTCAAGCATTTTCTATCCTGGGATATTGAATATTCGAAATTCTGTCATGTGAATAAGTAAATTTTGTTCATAGGTTTACAGCGTTAGAAAAAAACTTACTAGAAAAACTAAAAGATGCACAATAAAATAATCTTATTGAGCACTTTATTCATGCAAAGTTTGAAATCGAAATTTGAAAGTCAATTTTCCATATGATTTGTGAAGGACTACAGATTTTTGTTGAAAGATTTAGCAAAATATTGCTATTTCAAGAATCAAGATCTAGACAGTCGAACTCTCTCAGATCTTGATACTATCCACCATGATCTATCGTCTGAATATAGCCTCGATAAAAAAAAGTTACGGAATACTCAGCGATGTGCCCTCATTAGTCTAACGATAAATAAATTTTCTTGTCGCTAAAAATTAATAAATACTTGTATTGTTTTTCTTCATATGTCTTAGAATCACTGTGAGACTTTACTTGATGTTTAATTTATTTAAATTTCATTCAAAATAAACTCAAATAAGGTTTTTTTGAGATTAGCGAAACTTCTGTATTGAACTAAACAAAAGAAATTTTAAATGTATATTTATGTATCCTGAAGTATGTTATTAAGATTCATGATTCACGGATGTTTATACTCATATTACCTTGCTTCATGTAACTTAATACTCCATCACCTGTAATATCTTTTTCCATAGTATTTACTACATATGGTTCTTTAACCTTTTGTTTAGCACTATCAAGAGACTATAATCTTTAACATCTTGATTTAATTATTCCAATTTGACCAAATATTAACATTATACATGTTAATATTTATTCATCTTTGTTTTGATTCATAATAAGTATATTTAAATTGTAATCAAAATGAAATATGACTCAATTTACAGCACAATATGAGATAAATAATATAAAAATAAAGACGAATTAAAATATATTTATTATAAATCAAAACAAAGATAAATAAATATCAACATGCATAAATATTAATATTTGATCAAATAAGAAATATTAAATCAAGATATTATAGATTATGGTCATTGGGTACTGTTAAATAAGAGATTAAACTATAAAATACAGTAAGCACTAAAGAACAAGGAATTAAAGATGATGGTGTATTAAGTAGCATGAAACAGGCTAATGTGAGTATAAACATTCGTAAAACATGAATCTCAATAACATTGTATAGGACGTATATATATATATATATACATTTAAAATTTCATTTTTCAGGTAAATATAAACGTTTGCTCATCTGAATAAAATTTTTAAAATAAAAATATCAATATAAAGTTTGAAGATGATTTTAAGATATATGAAGATAAAAATAATAAAAGCATTGAAATACTCTATTGTGATTAAGAACATGAACTATTTATTTAATTGTAATAATAATTATGTTTATTTCTTGACTGTATTCTAAATTAAACACATTTTTTCTATTTTTATTTCATTTTTAATGAGTACATTATTAATAATTAATTCGCTTCTAAATATGATAGATATTTCTAGACAAATAAGTTGTTTTTTTACTTAATGAACTAATGGGATCAATTAATATTCATTTTGAAGAGTTCGTTGTGCTATAATTTTTTTTTTGCATAAAGACAGTTCTAAGAGAAAATTTATTCCTATGCACATATTTATTATGAAAAACAAATAAGAATTTAACATAATCTTCTAATTACTTAGATTATTAGTACGGCAAAACGTAATTATATAATTGTAGTCTTAATTATATTCTCAATGAAATGACGTATTTCGGTGATAAACCTTCAATTTGATTTATGAGTAATAACAGTATGTATTTAAGTAGATCATTTATCTTCCAATTCAGTTTTTATCTAGACTCTTTCTGGACACATTGAGATATAGTAATGCCAGATGTATTTTTCATTAGCACATTTTCATGTGCTATTTCTATCGAAATATATATTCTCGCATGTGGAACCATATGCTTTATAATCATCACTATCTCACATCTTATATGGTTGACAGCCACAGTCACATATTTTCTTAAGATTATTCCATTTTATCGGCTCGTTTTGGTATAAATAATAGTCTCAAAAGCAATTTTATTAAGTAATATAAAATGTTTTTTTTCTAATAAAATTCATCTAAAGAATTTTCTTAATAAAAAAAAAAAGTCTGAAATATGATCATATTAAATATTCGAATGATTTAAATAAAAACTCAATTTATCATCAGATATTTTTTAAAACAAAGGGTCAATTTGACACATATAAAACAATCCCTCGTGAATTCGATCAATATGAAAAAAGTAATCATTAGAGAAATGAGCAAAAGCAACCATAACTATTATTTATTATCATTGTTGTTGTTAATTTTTTTTTTTTCATATTACATGACATATATGAAATATTAATAACTGTATTGACCAAAAAAAGAATGAAATTATCAAGCAACAAAAAAAAAACAAAAACAAGAAAAAACCAAATTTCAAGAGATTTATACAAAAAAAGAGACGCAATGTTATAAATATATATATATATGTACAGAAGAAAAAAACAAACTGTATCCACCGGCTTTTTTCTTTATTATTGACTACCACTATCATCACCAGTAATAATAATCGATGGAGATTCAACTGCCAGATTATTATCTCGTCGTGTAGTAACTGTTGATTGTTGATTAAGTTTTAATAAAGGTGATGCTGGATCACTACTATCTTCTTCCTGTTCTATATTATCAGGAAGATGTACAGATGGATATTGATTATGAGAATGCTTACGTATATTCGTCTGTACAGAACTATGATAACGTTGTTTATTAACTGTTGATCGAGGTTGTTGTTGTTGTTGTTGAGATTGTTTTTGTATATTATTTATTGATACTGTTTCTTCAAGCGTTTTTTGTCGTACTCGATGGTGATGACGTTTTGGTGTTCCACGATATGAAATATCATCGTTGGCGGTTTTTTTTTTATCTAATGATGGATCATGCATAAGAAATTCATTAACAATACGATTGGTTTTTTCATCAATACTATAATCACGTGTTATTGGCATTGAATAAACGGGTACATTATGACTTAAACTAGCCATAGCTGTATCACGTACCATACTAAATTTTAGACGAGGTTTTGTTATACATGTCGGAAGAATCGAATATGCTGTTAAGGTTTTCGTTTTATTTGTTGTTGATGGTGTTGAAGGATTGATTAATGGTGTTTGAGTATCAAATGAAACTGAACCACGTTGAGAACGAAATGCCTCTGCTGGTGAAGTAGAAGTAGCTGATGATGTCGTTGAAGATGGTGAACGTTGAAGAATATGACGAGAATTACCCGTATTATTCACATTAGGAGAAAGATGTTGTCGAGTAGGATTTGAAGATGATGTAGAAACAAGTATACGATCAGCAGTAGATGATATATGAGTATCAGATTTTGTTTCATGTGACTGTAATGGTATTTCATTTGTATATGAATCTATTTAAAAAAAGAAAAACATGAAAATCATTGTTGAAGATAAATTTTTTTTTGATTTACCATCTTCACTTCCTGAAACTAAATTTCTTGTATCATCGGATTTAGTTCGACGAAGATCAGGATGTCGAACTTGTAATAATAATGATGAAGGTTTCGTATTTGTTTCATTAATCTAGTCAAAATAAAAGTTTTTATTTTTCGATTGAAAAGAAAACAAAAAAAAAGCCGAATTTATTTCATTTTACTTGATAAACGTTCGTTTGATGTTCGTCAGTTGCTATATGTGAAAGAATAACATTTGATGAAACATTTCGTTTATCTTTACCGAATTCTCGTCGCTTTTTACTTGCTGTTCGAATAAATGATGATGATGGAACAATTTTATTATTATTTTTATTATTAATTGAATTTGCTTGATTTATATTTGGTAATACAGAGAGATTAATTGGATTTGGTTTATGATTCTCAACAAGTGGAATATTTGTTGATAAACTGCGTTGTTGCATCATATTAGAATTTGATGAACTCGGGGGAATAAGATTTGTTGATGTTTCTTGATAGGAGTGATGAAGACCTCTCTGAAGAATTTTGGAACTACAATTTTAGAAAGAACATAAAACATGTTTTTCCGTTGACAATAGTTTTCATTTACCGGTTATTGTTCGTTAGTTGTTGTTGCTGTTGTTGCTTTTCTTGTTGTTGTTGTTGTTGTTGAGCCAAATCATCATCCAAATCTTTAATATCAACACTCCTTTGTTGGATACGCGCATCACCGACATAAATAACACTTTCGGCTCCATCATGTGACATCCAATCTAAACTAATTGTTCGATTTTGACTTTCTAATGATCTATAACCGCTATCATCTTGATGTGGTGATTGTTGTTGTTGTTGCTGTTGTTGTTGTTGTTGTTGTTGTTGTTGTTGTTGTTGTTGTTGTTGTTGTTGTTGTTGTTGTTGTTGTTGTTGTTGTTGTTGTTGTCGTCGATAGTTGACATCAGGTAAAGCATTTTCATTTCCGGATGATTCAATTGATGTAAATTGATCATTTGGTCCTCGACTACTTGTATCTGATTGCATATCAAAATCAGTTTCAAGACTTCGTTCAAAGCTTGAATTTTCACTTTTAGAATTAAAATTATTCAATAAACTTGAAAAATCTATGATTGAATCCTTATTATTTTCCTCCTCTACATCATTTTGATTTTGAAGTAATTGTTGTTCACGACGAATATTTGATTGATTAATACAACTACGACGTTTTTCAAATGTACGTCGAAGAGCTTGACGACGAACTTCAGGTGGTGGTAATAAAAGATTAGATGAACTTTTACGACGATATTGATATTTTGATGGATCATCATCACCACCACCACCACCACCACCACTAGCAGTATTCGTACTATTATTATTATTACTATTATGAATAGGGATAGCTCCAGCTGAATCAATTGACGTTGATGTCAATAAATCTGGTGAGAAATCTTCGGGTGACGTTCGATCTAATTGTTGTTGTTCCTCAAGTTCATATGATTGACGTAAACGCCAAAGATCATGTGATGCTGTTGTTGCTTTATTATGATCATTTATACTTATTTGTTGAACAAGAGTTGCTTTACGACTTGTATTTCTTTGATATTCTTCCTAAATAGATTTTAAAAAAAAGACAAACAAACATTTTGAATAAGAACAAGAAATAAATTACTATATCAGTATTTTCTCTTCGATTTTTTAATTGAGATAATTTAGCTGCTTGAACAAGCTCATTCATATCAGGAATTTTAATAACAATAGGTGGTGGAGCAATAGATGCTATTAATGGACGATGATCATCAGCATATTCATATGATTTTGTTCTACGATTAACTACATCAGCACGATTCGTACCAGGTCGTAAAAGATGAACAGCATCAAAACTACGTGATTGTTTATCGTTTGTTGTATGATTAGATGATGAAAGTTGCCCAGCTGGTGATGATGATTGTTCAAGTGATCGAGAAATTTCATGTTCCCGTTGTGCAACTGATAAACGTACTTTTGATGATTGATCTATCAAAAAAAAAAAAAGAAGACAACATTTATTTATTTGCTTATCATTGTTTTTTCTTAAATAATCTTTTTTTACCTAATGGATCAATTGTTGCTGTAAGATCTTTTTTCTCAAGAATAATAGCAGCAGAATTTTTTCGACTTGTTGAAGGTGTGGGTGGAGATAAATGTTGAGATATTGTTGACGTATTTGATAATGGATTACCAATAACAGAAAGACTTGATCCACGTGGTGTATAATATATCTCTTGTTGTATTGATGACGCAGGCGATGATGTCAATGGTTGTGGTTGAGACTGATAAGCAAAAGTAACATCAAAACTACTTTGACGATAAGGTGATAAGGACGTTGTTGATGGTGATGAACGTGTATCAACATTAAGCGAACGACCTTTTTCAAGACGTGGTGTATCTGATTTTCTATGTGCCGTTAATGAAGCATTTGAATTTTGTCGAACATAACAACGTGGATCAACTTGTAAATATGCTTGTTCATCATCCATATTAACATTTCTATACATATGACTTGAAAAAATTACAATTTTATTTTACAAAATTAAATTAAAAAAAAAAAAAGAATATTCTTAAATCTACATACGAGTCATTTTGTTTGTTACCTATAACAAAGACCAAAAAAAATTCATTGAATATTCATTTGATTGATTATAGAAAGAATTTAGTTGGGTTTGTTTTTGATCAATAAAAAAAGTCAATTATCGTTAATAAGAAAAAAAAACAGATCGATGAAGAATTCTTCGTTCGAGTATATGACTTATTTATTAAAGTATAAGATTAACATTCAAGGAAGTTCGGAGTGGAGGATTGACCTACCCAATCTTGGAATATTTTCCTTTTTGCTCCAGTGAAACTAAACGATTTTTTTCTTGTTTTTTACTCATTAATCCTTGTGACAAAGGATAATTCTTCTCCTCAAACTTCGTGATCTCGAAACACTACTTTTAACACTTACTGGTATGTTCTCGAATTTCATGATACGATGGATTATGTTGTGAATTTTGACCGCTTGATGAATGATAGTCTGATGTCACGTGTTTCGAACTAGGTATTTGCCATTGATCTCTTTACAAAAAAAAAAAAAGAAATAACAGTTTGGTTTTTATTATTTAAAAGAATAAACTATTAATAAAAGGATAGCATAAATTTCACAATACTAACTTTCGCAATTGACTTTCAGCAACAGTCAAAACGTATGTCACACGTTAAAATTTCATCCTCAATAAAACTGAACTTTCGACTACTGCCGAAAGTTGCATAATAGGATGTGAGTAAAATAAATATTCCCATTCGTACCCTACATAGTGAATTTACTATTTAATCCAGACTTTTGGCCATTACCAAAATTTATGCTTTTATTGGACTGTCGCCCTCAGCAAAACCGAACTTTCGGCTATTGCCAATAATTTAGTTTTGTTAACGGCAAAGTTTTTATAAAAAAAGCACAACTTTGGGCAATCGCCAAAAGCTAACTTTAAAAGTTGATACGGTAAAGTACGTGTTTCTCTAATAAATTACTCGGCAATTTGATATCGATCAAGTGGATTTGATCGACGTGGCTCGAGTGGTGAGAATTCTCGAATACCACGATGATATAAACGATTTGAATCGAGTAACGATGCTTGATTTAATGTTTCATATAAAAGTTTCATTTGTTCGGTTTCTCTACAAAAATAAAACGAATATAAAACAAAATGTTTTAATTAAAAAAAAAATGCCAAAATTTACCTCAAATTTTTTCGATTTAAACAATATTTGCATAGTAATAAAATCGAAAAAACAATGAGAAGACCACCGAGAACACCACTTATAAGCACAATGAATGCCAGGCTTCTTTGATTAAAATGTGTTCGGGTTGCCTAAAATAGAAATGAATTACTTTGATAATGATTTTCAATCTTTAATAGAGAAGATGATGAAGAAGATGATGATGACGAAGAAGAAAAAGAAGCTGCAAACAGCAAATGAAAAGAAGAAGTCATCACTCTTCAAAATCAAAGTAAATATAGACGTCATCTGTAACATAGAAAAAGAAAAACTAATTAACATGAGTATATTTCTTGTCAGTGTGACGTCTCATCTATGGATGAATACTCACTTTCATTGTTAACAAGAAAATATTGATTCACATCTATAGATGTTTGTTATTCAATATTTATCATAACGACTAATGCCCTTGATACTTTTCATTTATCATTGTCGTCATATTAGAATTGTTTAACAATAGACAAAACAAAAAAAAAATTATTTTTATAAAAATAATGACGACAATGATATCAAAAAATATATAGTATATTTTATTTATATATATATATGTATGTATATCATCTGAAATTAGCTTGTATAGAAAGTCGAACAAAAAGATTTCTTTAAATTAATAACCTTTCTAAAAATATATGTTAATAAGTAATTTTATTAAATGCTTTTAGACAAGAAATAAAAGATTTAGGTTACCATAGGTATAGATATGTCAAGACAAGTATTATGCCAATGATCTCTATTCAACTTCTCGGATGAATGCTATTTAAAAGCAAAGAGACCACTTTCCTGTTTCTTTCATTTTCTTTTTCTCGTCTTCTTTCTTTTACATTCTATTGTTTTCCTCGAGGAAAGACTATAAGCAATGAATTTTCTTTTATGCACCACATCATTTAACAGCAGTCAAAGTCTCATAATAGTAAAGAACAACATCGATAAACGTGAAATGTAATCAACAAGAGACTAAGGTTGCTTTCCATAATGTTAGATGAGTACAAAAGAAAAAGAAAAAGAAATTAGAAAAGAAAATGCAACCATTCGTTGCATCATGATCACACATAAAACGTTTTTTGGATTTTCTATTTCAAAAGCATAAGCTTTGTTTCGTGTGTCAAAGTAGGCACGCAACGTTGACGTTCAACGATCTATTATTATGATTGCGTGCAAGACACAATTACAATTCCTTGCAAGACAGATGCCACTGCTGTGTAATTACAAAGTTTGATACAAAACAAAAAAGGGTCCGACTAACAACTAAAATATATATATACATATATATATAAGGCGAAGATGACTATAAAGAAGAATAAAACGGAATAGTGAACACGTTCTCATGAGATTCGTTTCTAATCATTCAACAAATAACGAGAAAAGTAAATAGATATATGTAAAAATAAAAACATAAAAAAGGAAAAAAAAACCTTATTTATCTAACCATATAAATCTTTTTATATTTAATGTATTAACCAAGGTTATTCAGCATGCATAAATATGAAGACGTACTAACGTAGTTCTTGCATTTTGTTTGTTTGAATACTAATAGACTAAGCGAGCAAGTGACTGCTCGACGTATTTTGAATACGAAGAAAAGTGACGGAATGAGTGAGTGTGAGTGAATGAATGAGTGTTTTTGTCTTTTCAATCGCAATGCCATCGCCGTTGACGTCGTTGGTTTTCTCTCACATAGCTGGCATGAGAACATTACTCAGTTGTGAAATACTATAATATACCCAGTTTGACGTAACATAAAAAAACTAAGAGTACGGAAGTCTATGCACGACAATACTCAATAATACAAGGAATCCTCTTTCAGTTTTTTATTACAACTACATATCACCTATATTTTATGGTCTTATATGCGTGACTTTTAATCAACAAGCATCTTAATCCTTTCACGACAGGTATCCCATACATGTGACGACCGCGCAACAGAAGACAACCGCTATGAAAAGGTTAATTAACTTTCAAAATACTTTTTTCTATGTGCGTATAATTGGCAGATTTTAAAACGAAGAAAGCTCTAGGTCATTATAAAAAGCTTTCACCAGAAACAAGCAAATCAAATAAGAACAAAAACCCCCAGCTTTTACAATTGTGCTCATTAGAAAATTACTTATTTTTTCACTCATACTGAACTGAAGATAAAGACTGCATGATAATATGAATATAGATTATAATTAACCCGATTTCCTCATAGCAGGAAATTGCCTATAAGTCTATTTAAGCATATTTGTCACCAACAATGCCTGATATCTATTTGGTTGAACATACAAATATCCACTGGTTATGATTATAATATTTCATTCACATCAGAATTCCCTTATCTCCTTCTCAATTTTCCATTGTCTTGTTTTTTTCTCATGTGTCTAGAGACTGAATATTAAATATCTATTCTAAAGAAAAATGGTGATCGATACAAGTGTGCTAGAAAAGAGGCGAACAATCCTTTAGAGATTTTTATATTGAGGTGCATTAAAACTTGGTAATCCTTCGTATTTACCAATAGAAGAAATAAAACAGAAATTCTATACGTAAAAAACACAATAAAGTCAGTATTATGAGCAGTCACGTCTGTCTATTATCGACCAACAAATACAGAAATATTTAAAAAAAAAACAACAGAAAAAAAACATATTTTACTATTAATGGAAATATTTATCAATTCTAATTAATCATTCACGTCATATGTTCAAATTCCGACAGAATAAAAGGCCTACTTAAGCATGATTACATCAAATGCATTCCAAAAGTAAATTATCTTATAGTCATTTGATAAAAAATTTCTAAATAATTTATTCACTTTGATTTCAACTCTATATTAATCAATGTCAAAAAATATTAAATAAATACATACCATTTGTCTTTTGTAATATTATGACAAAAATCAAAATGTCTTTTTGGTTTTTAATTAAAACTTGGACATCTTTTTCTTTTCTTGACTCTACTGTTCTTCTTTTGTGTAGGCAAAGAACATATACGGAAATATTCCAATCACTATTTTACTAATAGCAGTAGTAGTAAGATGAAAAAAAGGAAGACAAAAGAAAAGAAAAATAATAGCAAACAATCAAATTAGCAAATCTATAGTCGCTTTTTTCTTAACAAACGGTGAAAAAAAAAGGAGAGAAAGTTCTTTTTTTTTTAAGCATTCTCTTTATTTTTACATACGCCATTGATGTCGTTGTCGTCGTCGTGTATATATATTCATTCCTTTTTTTTTTCTATCTGCTTCTTTTCTCAATTGAGCCTTGAGCTTTGTTATGCTTGTCAATGACAAGAGAACAATGAGGACAAAAACAAAAAAAAAAAGAAGAATAAAATAATACTACAAATAAAATATTATACTAACACTTCATATTGCGTGCGTGCCACACCTCTAGCATTATTTTGATTATTATAATATATGCAAATTAAAATATATCTTCGAAAAAGACTAAAAGACTTAAGATATAAATATACATGAAAGTATTCGATTTCTAATTATCATAAAGTTTTTCTGGTTTAAAAAAACAAAGAAAAAATAGATTGTGCACTTGAGTATTACTTTCTTCTTTTTTTTTCATGATACAAATTCCGACGGAAATGACGTTGATGTGGGCGGTAAAAAGAATAGTAACTTATTTAAGATTAAGAGTAAAATATGAAATGACAAAAATGAAAGATGAACGGAAGGAAATAGAATTTCATCTATATTCTTACAATTAAATCTTCTTAACGTATATATATAAATTGCACAACTTGACATAGTATTATGTTTAACTTTTGTCTTTCATTTTTATTTAAATTCTTGTTTTATGCTTATTTTATTCAAAAAAAAAAAAAAAAATTATAATGAGAAAAATTCATGTATACAATATTGATATTAAATCATTTTAAAGTTATGAAAGAATATATTTTTGATTTACGATGTATTTTGTTTTGATACATTAAGTGATCATTCAATTGTATAGGAACAATTTACTGTTATTGTTTATGATACAAAGATCTTAATGACATAGTCTAACTTTTGTTTCTTATAACGCTTTTCCTAGGTATCAACAGTCTGACAAGGATTAATTGTTATGTCGTCAGCAATAGAGTAGCTATGAATATGTACATCTCATTGGATCGAACTGGAAGAAAATGCGAGTTTTGATGCTGTTGTCAATGCTTACGAGTAGGAGGAGGAGATAATGTATTCTCTTCTGTTCGGATATCATCCTGTAAACAGCATGCAGAGAAGAAAAAAAAAAATCTTGTACATAACACTGCAGAAATTATTATTCATCTATATCTTTTGCTTTTGTCCGTTGGCATTTTTCTCTATACGTATATGTCGAAGATTGCCTGTGAACAATTATATCTCTTCTCCTCCTCCTCCTCTTTTTTTTCTTTGCTTTAGTTGTTGTTTTTTTCGTCCAATCTTATACAAGTCGATATATCTAAAAGACAAAAAAATATGCCGTATTTTTGACTCATCAACAACAAGGAGTAGTTAACTATCATCACTATTATCATCAACAATAGCATCGACAAGAAACTAGGTACTTCTAGACTGATTAGATTAATCTACCAAGGTCAAGATAAACTTATTATTAATACTATTAATGACATTTGGTAAGTTTAACTTTTAGTTTATGTTGTCAAATAAATGACTTTGTCAAAATAGAAAACGCGTTTAATATGCTAAATATTTCTTTAATCTGTCTTGTCAAGTAAAGAAATTCTGTGTAAATTATGCAATACTGTGAAAAGATCAAAGATGAGAACATGTGCCTGTCGATCATTGTCAGACTAATGAACAACTAAATGAATACAGAGGCATAATATCATCATTCTACAATGACCTTCGAACATTTTCTCTCATGTTGACTTAGTATAGCTAGATTTTCTGATTGATGATATATTATGTTTCGTTGTTTTTTCTTTCCTTTTTTTTCCTTTCTTCACTGTATACATTCCAATATTTGAGAATTTTCTCTTGATAATGCATATGTACAATGCACGTGCTGCGCAAGCTTACTGGTTGTTTGTCGTCGATAAATTGTAATAATGATGAGTATTCAAAACAAGAAGAAAATATCTCTTTAACAGCTAGTACATCGTTTCAATTATCTCCGATTGAAGATACTACAATAAAAACGACAATAGTCAACAAGGTCAATTCTTCACTAGAGCCTCAAGATATCAAACAAGCAATTATAATAAAGGAGAAGTAAGTCATAGAAAAGATAACCTTTGTACATCATTCGAGAGAATGATTATAAAACACACAAATAATCGCTAAGTAGTTTGGTTTTGATCATTTGATTGTGTTGAACAACGAATGGCATTGACCATCAATGGAAGAAAATTATTGCACTAATT